GAGAGAGAGAGAGAGAGAGAGAGAGAGAGAGAGAGAGAGAGAGAGAGAGATTTTTGCGTGTATAGCGAATATGACGACCAAAAAAAAACAATTAATAAAAAAAAACCGGCACTGTAACAACAACGGCTCCGCCTCCCTCTTCGTCCCTCTCCTCTGCCGCAGCGTAGCTGCGGCGGGTCCACTTGTTATTATCAATGTACAAGAATGTGTCCCCAGCGGCTCTGCCGCACACACAAACAACGGATCGCAATCAGGTGGCGGCTATGGCTTCTCTCACTTGTCTCTCTCTCTCTCTCTCTCTCTCTCTCTCTCTCTCTCTCTCTCTCTCTCTCTCTCTCTCTCTCTCTCTCTCTCTCTGTGACTTGGCTCGCTCTGCCTTACTCCCTCTCTCTCTAACCTAGATCGTCACCCTGGATACACCCACTCAGGTATGCTTACACCTCTGCGGCTATAGTCGCCGTCCTCCTGCTCTACCCCTAACCTAGCTATGGAGTAACTTGCGAGCGCCCTCTCCTTCTTCGGGTGCGCAGTGCCTGAGTTGCCTTAACGCACAAGCAGCAGCAGTGCTTCCGCATCTCGCAACTGAACCAGTGACGAGCCACTGCATTAGCAGCTAAATATAGGACTTGGCTTGGCTTGGCTTGGCTTGACCTGCTTCAGACGGGTACCGGTCAGCTGCGGTCTGTCTGATGCAAACATTTTGTCGGTCTGGTAGCCTCTGGACTTTCCTGGGACATGCTGCAAAATTGGACTTGGGATTGTCGGACTGGACTGGACGCTTCTGGACTTTTCTTGTCGGGCACCGGACGGACCCCTACCGACCTACGACATTTTGCCCTCTAGACCCTATGGGACGGCCCTGCGACTTGGGACTTGTTGGGGCCTGGGACCGGGACTGGGTGTCTGCAGCGTGAATCCTTTCACAACCGATTGTGAAGACATAGCCAGTCTAAGCATTTCACAAGGCCAAAAAAAACTTAAAAAAAGAGAAGATCTCAACAGATTGTGACCGACCCTCTAATCATTTTCCTCATCTACATTCATTGTATTTCATTCTCCTCCCCCCCCCCCCCCCCACCACCACCAAAAAAAAAAACGCAATTGTTGGCCATCTTGAAGTGACAAAGGGAGAAAATGGAAAGGAGGCACTGAATATCCTTCGCATCGTGTGGGCCTCAAATATTTTAACGTGTCCTTGTCGAAGTTGTCGTTGTGAGTTCAACTTTGTCAAATGTCCCTGCCAGGCAAAAATATATTTCTGGCTATCAGGTACCCGGTTGCAAGCACAGCCCTGACACATGAGGCTACAGATAAGTGGCTGTGTTTCTTGTCATTGGTTGTTCTTTGTCCTGATGTGGAAACAATCTGAAATTGCTATGCTCTCAACTTCTCCTTGTATTTTAGGTGATCTCATTTGAAAAGCTGCCACCTGAGGAACGAGCCCTTCTGCAAATAGAGCGCCAGGTATGTGTGTGTGTGTGTGTGTGTGTGTGTGTGTGTGTGTGTGAATCTGTGTTCTAGAAGTCCTTTACTTCTCCACATTGTCAGAGGCCGACGGCAACCGCAGCAAGTGGGTCGGAACATCGGAGTCACGAGTTGGAGCCGTAGCAGAGTACAAAAATGCCGCGGCGCCCAAACATTCGTGCTCAATGCCGAAGCGCTGATGCGGTCTTGTGCATTTGAGAGGCGGATGAGAGTGAGCGTAGCGTTCGGTTAGTCAAACGGCACCCGCCCCCAGGTCTGTAGCCTGAGAGAGAGAGAGAGAGAGAGAGAGAGAGAGAGAGAGAGAGAGAGAGAGAGGAAGACATTCTGAGAGGACGAGCGAGGGAGGCCTGTGTGAGTAGGCATAGGCAGAGAGAATGTAAGGGAGAGCAAGATACTTACCTGCGTGTATGGTGTGGGCGGCCATAGCTGCGAGCACTGAAGAAGACAATCCCGATACGTGTGTTGATTGCGGAGACTATCTTTGCAACTTGTGTCTCACGTGTGCTTCGTTTGTGCCCAAATTGATGTGACCTTTGTGGGTCAGTGTGCCATGCGTGGTGGTCCCAATGCAGTTTTTTTCTTTTTTTCTTTTTTTTTAAAGTAGGAAAAAGAAGGGCGACGGCCTCTCCTTCGGGACATCTATTAAACTTTGGAACGATACAGAGAAAGAACTTCAAAGAAGATTTGCATGGCCCCTGCGCAAGGATGACACACATAAATCGAGAAATGTTCCAATAAAAAAAGAAAAAGAACCTTAAACAAAAACGGCGAAGTTTGAACTGACCAGCCCATATATATATATAGTCACAAACAGAACTGCCCGGTAAACCGTAGGCAGAGAGAGAAGAGGACAACAAACGAGGGGCTGTGACGAACTGTTTCGTCGGAGTTTCACCGACTCATCAGGAGGCTGAACCCTCAACAGTCTGCAGAATCCCCTCACTGATTACACTGTAAATGATAATCTACCTTATATATATATATATATCGTCATATATATATATA